CATTGTGGGTGTGAAAATGAAATAGGTTTTTGAATAAGGAGGTTTTTAGGCCTTTTTAAAAATTTTTAAGGGCCATGGGAAATAAAAGGGGGTAAAATTGTTTTTTTTTTTCCCCCCCATGCCCTGGATTCTTCATTCATTGTTAGGGGAAATTAACAGGGTTTTGTGATTTTGTGCTTCCGGGGGGGGGGGGGGGGGGGCGAGCGTATCGACGGAAATCATGAGTCAGCTTTATCGTAGAGAAAAAGTAACAGATCAAGGTTGTCACCGTCATGTTTCCGAGCTTGTAACGTTCTGACGATTCTCGCCGGCACCACACCGCACCTGTCGTGTTTGCCCCTCAGACTCGGTGGTACCCCTTTTGGCCGCTAGAGCCACCGCTGCCGCACTCAAGACGCGGGTTTCCGCCAAGCCACGTTCACGGATTTCCTCGAGCTGGTGCCAGAGGCAGCGACATATCGCCACCACCGCAACAGCAGGGAAAGAAGATGGAATGGAATACGACACCAGATGGCATGGAATACGACACCAGATGGCATGCAATACGACACCAGCAGCAGCAGCAGCAGCAGCAGCAGCAGCAGCAGCAACGGCAACACCAGCATCAGCAGCAACAGCAACAGCAACGGTTAGTAGGAGCATAAGACAAAACAAATACAATACACGCATGCACGAGACAGGGGTCCGACGAGGTCCGAAAACTCGGAGAAAGTGGCATCGAACCATGGGGAGTTAAGGGTGGTCCAACACGCGAATGCAACGACATCTACGACATCTACGATTCTCAGGCATGCCCCCCAGCGAGAAAGCGAATACATTTTCGGCTTCCCCCATAGACAAGGACCGTGGAATCATGAGTGGAAACGGGGGTAGAGAAGCTTGTCTCAACGAACTCGCCACCCTATGAGGGTGAGGCTAAAAAATACCCCGTGTCAACGACAGCTCTATCTACACGGTGCCTCTCGCCCTTGCGGTAAGCAAGTGAAAGTGACGCCGTAACCCCCGCACCTGCCCCCTGAACGTATTTTGTCTCGCACCCCTTTGTCGGAAGGTATCGATTCCCCGTCATGACCGAGTTGACAAAGTCTTGCCAAGAAATCCCGAAAAAAATTCTGTGGTGTCAAGATTTCCCCCAAACCCTTATGTTTCTGGTTGAGGCGCGCCGTTGCCTTTGGGTAGAGAAATCGCGCGTCAAAACCTATTCCAAAGGGGGGAGGGGGGGTGCAATACTACCCCTCCTGCAAACAACTGGAATATGTTTTCTATGTGTTCACAGGGTTCCATTTCCTTAACGTCAGTGACGAAGTACAGCCGTTACGCTGCAACAAAAAATGCTCTACACCCTATATATTTACGGCGGTGGTACGACACCAAAACCCGTCCGTCGCGTTTCCAGCAAGCACCTTTATCGGTCCTCCACCGTCCAGGTACACGGTTCGTCTCCCTAGGCGGCCCTTGAAGGCGGCCAGGCGATGCTCAGGGATCTGCCGAGGCAAGAGCGCTGTGATGCTTGGGTCGACGCATCTGGCCACAGCCTGTTTGTTTATTGAGAACGCCATGAGAAAGGGGGGGAACGGGACCCACATGACAAGCACGTCGAGAAGAGAGGAAGTAGCACAGCGTGCGAGACGTGGGTGTCTGTGGTGCGCGTCGGTGTGAACCAGTGGCGACGATGGGAGGCACCACGCCATGATGCTTGTGACTCTTGAAATTTTTTTATTTCCGAGGCAAAGAGTATCCAAAGCAGAAAAACATCATGCAGATGCACTGCTCGGATTCCGAAAGCAATATCATGTCTTGGTCGGGTGCTTCTCGACTTCTCTACGTGCAGCAGGGTAGAAACCTCAAAGACGACAAGAGAAGAATAGAGGTGGGTACCTGTTCCGTCGTCGAGCTGCTCCTACTCGAATCCGCCCCCAAATCCTCGCCTCACCCTCAGAAAAGTCGCCGCTCTTGTGATCTTCTTACAAGTGTGAACCAATACAACCCTCTTCGGCTAACTCTTATGGGTTGGTGTAGATAGAGATCATCACCCCACCTTGCCTGCTTCCTCGCGAACCTCCCGACATACCCCCCCCGCCCTCCACTACACGCACAAATGATGGTAAGGTTCACCTCGAGCGTTTCCATGGCTGCCGTGACGACGGGCCACAAGCGAGAACCGAAGAGTACCCCGAACCCATCTTGGAGGACACTCTTCCAAACGGTTAAACCCAATGTTGCCAGCTCTTCCCTGTTGCTTGTTGGGGAGGGCGAGGGGGGGGGGGGGGGGGGGAGCGTACTGTTTAGGTTTTGCATGCCTTAGCGGTTAGACCGTTGACCACGCGTCCTCGAGAGGACTGAGCAAGGTTGAAAATCGATCAAACCCCGGCAAGCAGCCCTGGCTTGGCAAACTGTGCCGGGCAGGACTACAGATCAGGGTCTCACAACTCGTGCAACAGACTTAAGTAAAGCAAGGCGGTTGCTCTCGGTTGGCCTGGCTGATCGCACGTATGTTGATTGAACAACCAGACGAGGGTATGTCATGCACGCAACTATTATAAAGGAACACACGGTCTAACAAAAACAAATCAACAGAGCTATTGTGAGTTAATGTAGTCGTGTGCATATTTGAATTGTTGGTTTTGGGGAAGACATAGATGGAGCAATAAATGGAAGAGCAACGTAAACATGCGCGCGGGTACGTTCGTCTTGTGCCCCAAGATGCACGAGAGTAGGATACTCACTGCACCGGCACCAAAATGCATGGACCAACCGCGTCCACGGCCGACCGCACCATACGTCAAAAAGCTCTCGACGACCTTGCCAATTCGACCGTGGTATTATCTCAAAAGGGCAGTGTTTCTGTGATTGTGCCCATACTTTCCGGGCATTTTTTGACAAGTCTCTTGGTTGTGGGGCAGCCGAGCTACTTAAAAAAATCGATCGCACGTCTGTCGTAAGCGTTCGCCCACACTTTTTTCGCTCCAAAGGGCCGCGGTATATATCTACCTTCGATGGGAGCGGCTGACGCTGTCCCACTGACGACAAGCCCTCCGCCAGGGCCAGCACCGCTTCCCCGCCAACCCTGCCATCTACCGCCTCCCTCGCCACCACGGAGCACAGCTGCGGCAGCCTGTCGGGGTCCTCCCTCGCTACTAGCCTGGAGGGGAAAAAAAAAAAAAAGACACCACAAAGATCGGAGAGCGTCAAGCGAGAAGGCAGAGGCAACGGCTGCGGCAGGGTGGGGTTTGCCCTCGCCATCACAATAGCCTGGCGGGAAAAAAGAAAAAACAACAAAAACAACAACGCCGTAAAGATCGGTGAGCAACAAGCCAGACCTCGCAGGCAACGGCTGCGGCAGTCTACCGAACGTTTGGTGTGTCGCCATCAGCTCCCTGAAGAATGTCACAGCAGTAGTACAGCCAGAAACAAATTGGTACACACCGTGACCAAACAGACAAAAAAAAACAAGAAGGAGACCCGCCACAACACAAACGCTTGAACTTCATCGCCGTAGAGCGAATCGCCACCCGGGCGGGGACCGGTTCGGGGACCGGTTCCCGGACGGACAAAAAACTTCACGATCGCGACGCAACCCCTGGGAGAACACGCGCTCGCCTAGTGATCGCCGAGAGGGCGCGCTCCGACAGTCCTCCAGACAGCCCCGATGACGTAAGCATGCCTCCCAGCTCTCTCGCCACCTCTCGCGCAGCCGCACCCAGCCCCCCCTCTGCTTCTCCTCCCATGTCGACCTCGGCCCCGGCCGCTTGCTTCCGCTCTTGCTGCGGGCGTGCCGCCAGGAACCTCGCTCCCGCTACCAAGTTGTCTTCTTCCTCCCGTTGCCGGAGGCTGCTACCGGGCGAATGCTCCCCCCGGACTCCTCTTGCTGCTTCGCTGCGAAGCAAGTCGGCCGTCGTCGCCGACGTCCTGGCGAAGGAGGCGCTTGCGGCTGTAAGCTCTTCGTCGTCATGGCCGCCGCCGTTTACCCCAGAAAACGATCTCCACGAAGGCAGTGCCCGGAGGAGATCCAGGGCGCACGCACCGCCGCTGCCGCCACCGCCGCCGCCACCGCCGCGGCCGCCGCTTGCCCTAATGCTACTGTCGCCGCTGCTGTCCTCGTCTAGCTGTTCTCCACGTAGCCGAGACAGGCAGGCCTGGAAGAGGCCGGCACGGGCGCGGGGGAGGAGCAGGGGAACGGCGGCGGACGCGGAAGGGCCGCCGGTGGGGCTGCCGCTGTCGGCCAGCGGAACACCGGTTGTCATGGCGACGCAGACGGCGGCGAGAGCGCGGCCGAGGCGACGGCGGCAACGGCGAGAGACTCGCGGGTCCAGCGCCGCGTTGGTTAGGCTCTGGATGCAGGCTTCCTGGGCGGCGGAATCGCACCTGCCGAGAAACACTGGAAACCCGGGAGGGGGGGGATGCGGAAGTTGCGGAGATCAAGGCGGTAATCAGGTGGTGAATCGCGGAAATCGGACAAGGATAACTCCGGGTAGGGGGTGACACGGACAGGTGAGCTGAGAAAATGAGGGTGGAAGATGTTAGGCACGCACGCTGACCGATACATGTAGCAAAAACACACTCGAGGGGTCGCGTAAACCGTGAATATGCGTCGTGCAGATGACAGCTTTTACACGAGCGATACAAACGAGCCTCTGTCGTTGGTAGGGGGCACATGTAATACCCACTCGTGGAAACGCGCAAAGCGGACAAGACGCGCAAAATTCACCCTCCATTGTTGTTACCAGTCCATTCAATCAGAGCAAACATCGGCTCTGCGCATAGCTCACCTCCCCCTCCGCCCCCCCGGTGTTTGCCATCGGGGTTGGGTTTTCGTCGCTTGGCAGCGATGTTGTAAAACAAGCCAATTCACTTCGTGAGCTCGGCAACCAGGTTACAGGGGTTTTTTGCCTTTTTTTTTTTTACGGTAACCATGAATGGTGGTCGGGCAGATTGTGTTGTGCGGGGTCGAGCACCCTCACTCCGCGCAAGGGGGATGATCGCACCACGTTGTGTTGAATTGGTCAAGCACCCTCGAGGCAGTTTCACAATGTTTATGGAAGTGAAAGCACCAGAAAATAAATTAAGTCATACGCAGCTGTCATCCGTACGCAAGGAAGTAAGCACAAGATGCTGAACACCCTTAGCAGGATGCAGCTCACCCTTCATGCGACTCGCCGAATACCTCACGGCGCTTCGCGCTTGGTGATGTGAGAGCTTGGTCCGGTGAGAGCCCGGCGTGCTCCGTCCCGGCTTTGTAGGGATGCGAGGTCAATGGTGTAACGACTACGGCATGCACGACTACGAGTATCCCCCCCCCCCGCGACGTGCACCACACGCTACCGTACTACTGTATGCGCAAGAACAAGCAGCGTCTCGGGGCATACCTTTCAGGGCGCCTACCCACACCTCGCGGCAGACGGGGTGCGGGTGACACGAGCAGCCCTCGATAAGCTGCACCTGCAAATAGGGCGGAAACACAGCAGCAGCAGCAGCAACAGCAGCAGCAACCCGCGAGAGGGTCGGCGGATGACAGACGACGGCGCTTAACGCTTTCTCTCCCTTTCGTAGTTTGACCACTGACATCGCGTCCCCCTTCAAAACAAAAAAACTACCGTCGGTTCTAGTCCTGCTTGTCGAGACACCCCCAACATTCGAGCGATCTTAACTTGTGTTACCCCGCTTCTCAACGTTCAACATTTTGCATAACGATTCTCGGGGAAACACAATACGCCTTCGCACCAGCCCCAAAAGGATGTCGATGTGGCGGAAAAGGTTCGGTACAGCAAAGAAAGGCGGTCGTCGTCGGAAACCTTACGCCATACTAGCGGATAACTTTGTCTGTAAGAGAGGCTTGAGTCTCTCACGGTCTGAGGTTTACTAAAGCCGTTTCGACACTCTCGCCATGTGCGCTGATCTGTACGACTGAAAGGCGAAAAATGCCCCACGACGCAGCAGGAGTGTGGCGCAGTGCCCCGTAGTTTCGAGGTAGCCACTACTCGTCGACAAGCTCCAAACACGGGGGGGGGGGGAGCGCCAGCGTGCGAGCCTGCTACGAGAGCTATCTTGCTCGCGCCCTCGGTGAAGCCTTTGGGTGTTGTTGTTGTTGTTGTTGTGTTGTCTTCACAATAAAAAAACGTTATGTTCTCTCTGCCCAGTACCTTCTTCTGTCCGCACTAATCTTTCTGACACTTGTGGGGGTCGATTCCCGTGGTCACAGGCTAACTTACCCAAAAAAAGGTATACGAAAATAAAAATGGACCGGTAGTCTAAGTTTATTCCCTAGCAGCAATGGCTCGAGCAATGTACCAACACGGAGGACGGTTAAGTATCGGACGAGCGCAGCCTCCACTAACAGCCTGCTGCTGTACCAAACAAGAATAACAACACAAGACCCCCCCCCGCACCTGCGCCTCTTGGAACTCCCCGTCCATTGCCCGGCGGCACACAAACACGCCCAACGTGGCGGAAACCTCTCCCGTGAGAGCGGCGGCCGCTCCTCCTTGCCCGCCGCCGCCGCCGGCGGCAGAATCCACCCAGCCGGGAAACAGCGCCGCCAGGTGGTCTAGCACCCAGGCGCAGCACGCCTCACGACGGGGCCCCCGGGCCCCCCCTGCCGCCGGCGCAGTACCGTACCCCCGTCGCAGAAACTCGCACAGCAGCAAGACCGCCCCCAGCGGGTCCACCGACGACTCCGGCTCGTGAACGGCGTCGCGGCTATCATCCGTGGCGGCGCTTGCGTCACTGCTGCGGCTGCTGGTGCGGGATGGATCCGCAATTGGCGGTGGTCGATTCGGCGTTGGTCGATTCGGCGTTGGGCGTAACGCTTCTAGAGCTTCCCACGGGTCGTGCCTCCGCCCCGAGAGCGGTCCGGTCGTCGTCCCTTCGTAGCAGCGGCATGACGGCCGGAGGTTCCGTTCTCGCTCTGCTACTCCTCCCGCAGAAGAGAATGCGGCACAACTCGATCCACCCGCGTCAACCAAAGGGCCGACCTTCCTGCTGCTCGTTGGCGGACTACGCGACCCGTTTTCGCCGCGTCCTGTTGCTGACACACCGCTCTGACAGCAGGGTGGCTCGTCGGTGGTGGACACAAACGCCTCCACTGCTTTCGGGTAGATGATGCAGCCTGCGACCCCCCCAGCAGTAGCTGCATCGTCACCGACAAAGTCCCGCGCGCGGAGCGAGGCGAGCAGGCCCGGGTACACAGAGGCGGTGGCCTGGAAAACAAAATGGGAAGGGGTGGGGGTACTCATGTAACTTCATGCCTTAGTTGTTAGACCATTTTTCACGCAAAGTGCGGGGGGGGGGGTGATCGCATCGGGGACGTTCGTAAGAGTGGATGCGGCTTGTCGATGGCACAACGAAATATACGGCACTGGTGAAAGTCCTACGAGGATGACCATCAAAAAAGACTAGTCAAGAAGAGGGCTCTTTGTGCTCCAATGTGCGTCATGCTCTCGCTTGAGCACACCGAGAGAACAAAAGTCGAACCCAGCTGTCGACAGGAAATAACTATTACAATCGTAGCTGGCGGTGATGACCGAAGTAAAAAATGCTTCTTTGACGCTGACGCGCCCAAGAACGATCGTTCTACTTCGCTGCAGCTTGCACAATGCAAGTTGAGGAACATTCACGCTAACGACCAACCTCGCGGAGTACCAGGTACGCTTACTATCGTGTCACATCTCACCTTCGCGTACAGCCTGAACGCTGCCCGCCTCTCCCGAGGCGGACACTCCGGCCCCAGGTGCCGCAGCAAGCACGCCATCCGCGTGCCGAAGGTGGCCAGCAGCTTCCCGAACTTCTTGAGGTGCGCTGTGTCTCCCGCTCCTGTTTCGCAGAGACGGTGAGAGAGAGAGTCCATCAGGAGGGAACGGGAGGTCGCGCGACGCTTGGCGCTTGCAGTTTCGCGTCTAATTTCCAACCGTCCAAGCCACTAACCTGCCGCACATGCCTAGACCAATAATACATGCCAGTGCACCTATACCCTCTGGGGGGAGGGGGCGGCTCCGTAACATGACGAAAACCATCGGGGTTTATCGAGGGTTTCCCGCCTGTGGGGCAAGGTGGGATACGTTTAACCACAGGGAAGGAGATAAGTACGGCAGTTTCGTTCATCATCTGCGGAAGTAGCGCAGCCGAAGTGCATACACCGCGAGCACAGGGGACGGACAGAGAGGTGTGCTCTCAACGAACCACGCCCATTTGCAAAAAAAAAGTGTTTCGGCAGCTAGCACGAGGTCTCCCCAGATATGGCTGCGTCCACCTTTGGCGCAACAACAACATTTGAAACGAAATTCTTAACAGCAAAAAATAACAGAGCCACCAATGCGAACAAGATAACATGTTCAGGGTTTTAGCGTCACAGCAGTACAAGGCCGGATACACATCCTGTTGCATGAAAAAAAATACCGTACCTCCTCCTGCAGATCTGTTCACGCAGCTATGTTCCTCGCCGGATGCCGCGTGCTTAGCATCCGCTTGCGCCAACGCAATCTTAAGCTGCCGCGGGTCGGGGGACAGGATCAAACAACGAAGGATACACACGTGTCAAGTGCTTGTGTGTGTGTGTCCGGCATACCGGCTTGCGCTAAATAGTGCAACCCTTGAGCTGCGGTTCCAAACGGTGCGACACGCCGGGGGAGGGAGCGGGGCATGCCGGTGTTGGTCCTGTTCAAGCGCGGATTGAACCCAATCATTCTGACCCGCCCCGCACATCCTCCGACT